ATGTGCCATCACATGGGAAACATACTTTTCCAGCTCTATGGCATGAAATACATGTTCCCTCGTGTTCTAGCATCACTCTGCAAGAGTTCCAGAAAGATTACGTTCACCATGATTTTTCTGCTAATTTAAGTCACCCTGAAAGCTTTGAACTGTGCGCTGTTTCAAGGAGTGGTGGTGTTTCAAAGAGCGGTGGATAACTGTACTTGCTCTGCCGCCTATTCAGCAGTGTCTGACCTTTGAGCAATCTACATAGAGTCCATGAGCAGAATCAGTTCACCGCGTACGCCATTCCGAGGTCGTTCAAGGTAACAGCCACAGACATTGCCCTCCGTATGTTTGGTTAATTACTCAAGAACTTGTTCGTCGTTGTCATTGCGCTCTTAGGGTACACACTCAGGTGAGCCCTTGTTCAGGCCTAGCCCATACGTTAATTTCAGACAAGGCTCCTTATGCGGACTGAACCACCACTTCACGACATCTCAATCGCTTGGTACAACAGGATGTGTATTGCTCTAGTACATTACAGATGCGATATATGTAGACTTGCATTGTCCGGTGGCCGGTGCTCAAATTGCCACAGGGAAAAGGAGTCAAGAGCGGGACCTTGGGATTGTGTCCGCACCTGAGAAGGCGTACTTTGGCGTACTTTGGCCTGGCACATGTCCTGAGCCTGTGTCTATGCCGCTCCAACCGTCCCCAGCAACAGCACAGCCCACCGTAATGTCTGAGAAAAGGCATGGCATGCTGACATATACGGGGTAACTATCAGCAACCTACAATCCAACTGGACTGGGCTACAATGAAGCTGAGGAGACAGACAAGAGGAAAGTGGGTGAGGAAAGACCAGCTTGAGTTTGGCTTGTTATTGAGCAGAACAAGCTCCTTATATACATGTCAGACTCAATACCTAGAGTATACTACAAATATATGGAGGTGTATAGAAAATGAAAGAATGCTATGGAATCCGGGAGAACCGTCTGGAATATTCATGACATTACCCCCCCTTAAGAATCGCGTTCTCATGATTATTTACCAGTAGACCCAAAGCCTCCCGTTCTGCGTTTAGTTTCCACTAAGTTTGACACCTCCTCGATATCACATGAAGCAATGTGTTCTAGAACTACTTGAGTGATCCGATCACTGGGGTGTACCTGAAATGGTTGATTGGTGGTGTTTATCATTACCACGCGTACTTCTCCGGTGTAGTCGCGATCTATGACTCCAGCACCGATGTTGATTCCTTTAACTGCTAATCCACTTCGTGGTGCAATTCATGTGTAAGTCCCATGAGGTGCACGCATTGCGATGCCGGTGCCAACAATCTTGCAACTTTGTGCTGGTATCTTAACGCTTCCGGCTGAGTAAAGGTCGAGGCCAGCGGCTTCTTCTGATTTGTGTTTCAGGAGAATTCCCTCCATTCGTTGTACCAAAAGAGTGGTGTCACGTGTGAGCATGCGAATAGGTCATGTGAGGAGAGGGGGAATACGAATTGTCATTGGCGTGGGTTTATCCAGACGTCTCGTATGGAAATCTTGGAGAAGTTCTTGACAGTTGGTCAGGTTTGCCCGTGATTCCCAAGAGTGGTGATCACCATGGGGGCTATGCTTCCAAAGAACTTGATACTCAAGATTTCCATTCCGATCACGGCAAGAATCCAGAATTTCTTCTACTTCCCATTCTTCCTCTCCATTTACAAGGTTTGAAATCTCAGGTCCATGTTTTTGTGAGGGATACGTGGGTTTCTTAAAGGGACTAAGTAGGCTTTCATTGAAAACAGGGTGCTGTTTCCATTAATGCGGAAGTTCTAATTCATGGGCAGAAGCACCAGTTTTGTGTTTGACTTTGAATGGTCTGTAACACTTATCGTCGAGCTTCTTCATGGGCCTATTGGTTTGAATGTTAACCCCTTCTAGCCAAACTTTGTCTTTGGCCTTGTATTCCGGTCTGCTCCTTCTCTTTCTATCATAGAAACACTTCATAGATCCTTGTGCAAGTTCGATAGACGCACTGGTGTCTTTGCGTATCTGATTCATTTGATCAACAAATTGTTGGACACTTTTGTTCAGCCCTTCTTGTACTGGCTGAGTTCCTTCACGAGGGTGATACATTTTATTAACAAAGAAGGGAGTGTATCCAGTGAAGGAGTGGACCTTGTTATTGTATGAGAAGGCTGCGAGCAGCAGCCATTCAGCCCAATCTGATTGTCTATAGTTGATGAATAGTCAGAGATATTGTTCTATCTTGTGGTTGACACATTCTGTTTGTCCATCTGTCTGGGAGTGATACGCAGTCAAGGGATTGGCTTCAATCCTGAGCGATTGGTATAACTTGGAAATGAACTGGTTCTTGAATTCAGCGCCTCTGTCACTGATGATCTTTCGGGGTAATCCATGGTGTGCAACCATATGATCACGAAGCGCTTTCACCCATCTTTTGGCGTTAAGTTCAATGGTACTTGATATCGTAATTATCTGCTTGGAGTACATGCAGACGATCACTAGAATAGCATTATATTCAAAGGATTCTGGTAATACGCCTATCTTGTCTACTGAGATTACCTCCCAGGGTCGCATAGGGATCTCATTAGGGAACAGAAGTCCTGTCAGTCGTATCATGTGAACCTTGGTCTTCTGACATTTCTTGCATCTGGCTATGTATTTCCAGATGTCTTCTCAAATTCTAGGCCACCAGTAGTCACGTGTGACCATTTTGTGTGTTTTGTATTGGCCAGGATGTCTGGTCGACAGAGTATCATGGTTATGAGCGATGATCTGCTCTCAGAGTTTCCTATTTACCGGTACGTAGATACCATTCTTCCACATCACGAGTCCAGTACTATCTTCATTCTAGTCCTTGTCCTTGTTCTGT